CCTCCCTCATGAGCCCTTGATAGTTTATAAATGGGTATTTTGTCATATCTTGCCCTGTCCGATGTCTCCCTTCACAGTTTTTTGTTTTTGACTTCAAAGGCATTTGACTATGTGGATTATAACAAATTATGGATAACATCACAAAAATGAAAATCCCTTAACAATTCTGCTATGTGGAAATTTTACACCAACTAGGAGGCAGTCAGTCATTGAAGCAGAACATGAGGATACTGTATAGTTTAAAACCAGGAAAAGCAAATGTCAGGGTTGTATCCCTTTACCATATTTAGTCTACTTTTATTCTGAGCAAATAGGGAAGCTGGACTTATGAAAGGTGTGCAATCAGGATTGAAGGAAGACTCATCACCAATTGTCCATAAGCAGCACAGCCTAGTTTGCAGGAAAATGATGTGATGCACTCACTGATAAAGATCAGACTACAGCCTTCAGTATGATTATGCTTCAACTGTCCCAAGAAACATCATGGCAAACAGAGAAAATATTGAAGTGGTTAAGGATTTCATTTTAGCTGTATCCACAATCAATGCCCGTGGAAGCACAGTCAAATCAAATGACTTACCACATAGGGCAAATCTGCTGCAAAAGACCTCTTAAAAGTGTTTTTTTTAAAAAAAGATGTCACTTAAGAGGGCTGAGGGGTGCCTGACACAGTTATGGTATTTTCAATTACAGTATGTCATATACATGTGAAAGCTGGAGACTGGACACAGTGGCGGCAACAATGGGCCGAGACATGACAACGGTGGCGAGAACTGCCCAGTGCCAGGCAGTGTTTCGTCCTGGTGGACAAAAGAAGGCCCTTTCCAACAGCCCACTTCTACTCTCGCTTCCATCCCTGCCTCTGTTCATTTCATTCTTCCCCAAAACGCAAGAGAATTCTTTTACGGGTAAATCAGATCAGGAAGGGCGGTGGTACTTGGGGTGGCTCTAGAATTTGCAGGCTGGTTTAAGTTAGGTGGGCAGACAAACGCTATGAACCAAATAAAGCAGTGAGTCTCAACAAACAAACGATGACTACGCACGTCCCCCCCGCCCCCCGCACAAGTCCCCGGCGGGCCCGCTCCGGCCTCCTCCAGCACTGACCCTCGACCGCCTGGAGTCCGGCGCGTCTGGCTGACGTCACGGACGCACCGCCCAGCTGACCCCGTCGTGCAGCCTCCGGATTGGTCTACCCGGCGCGTAATGACGAATAGGCTCGCGCGCCGGAAGTCCGGGGCACGTGACCGGTGACAGCGCTCGCGGGCTGCAGGGTTCCCTCTAGGTGCTGCGGCACGGGATGGCGGAGGCTCCTCCTGTCTCAGGTACGACTCCGGCCCCGGTGGGGCGGGGGACCCCTCTCGGGGAGCGCAAACGGGGTTAGTGACGGAGTCTAAGGACCTCGGCCAGAAATGTCGCGAGAGCGGCTCGTGCTCGGGTTTCGGACGAGTGGCTCAGAAGGGCCAAGGCACGCGCAGCGCGAGTACCCAGCACCCCCACCCCGCGCGCCCGCCCCGGATCCACCTTGATTGGGTCGGGAAGCCCCGCCGCTGGCCCCCGGGGTGCTTGAGCGCGCATCTCAGCGAGTCCGTGTGTGAGCCCAGCCGTCTAATGGAGCTCATCTTGGCGATCGCGGACAGCAACCGAACTAGCTCCCGACGACGGGCTGGCGTGGGCCCAGTCACCGCCCTTGCTGGATGGCTGGCTCTTAACGCAAGCTGTGTGTCTAGCATGGGTTCTTGCCTCTGTGGCGGGGTAAGGACACCGGCGCAGGCTTGTTAACAACCGTGGTTTTTAGTCGCACTCTGCCAAGAACTTGTGTGACCACGACTACGTTTCCCCATCGATCATTTGGGAGTAAATGAATGTATGTCTGTGGAAGCTTCTCCCCTATGCTCTTCCCCCATAATCATTCACTCCCTTCCTCTCCTTGAGTTTCCTCTGAGTGTAAAATATCCCTCATTTGGTTGTTAATGAACATCCATTTCCATTTTCTTCAAGCCGTCCCTTAGATTGATGGTTCACAAACTTTTTGGACTACACTCTCACTACCACTGGACTACACTACCCCACTCCCAACGACCCTACAGGACAGAGTAGAACTGCCCCCATGGCTTTCCGGGGGATTGTAAATCTTTATGGTAGGAGAAAGCTCTGTCTTTTGCCCACAGAGTGGCTGATGGTTTCACACTGCTGACCATGAGGTTAGCAGCCCAGCCAGAGCTCAATTTTTTTAGACGTTGACCAAGAGTAAGCATTACACCTGGCGACTTTAATGCACACATATATACTTATAGAAGTGAGCCAAAAGTTTCACAAAGCAGTGGCTCCCCTTACTATCTGCAATATACCCTATTTTCTATTTTGTCACAGCCCACTAAATTGATTGCAGGACCCACCCTTTCTGAGAAACAAGGTAGCCTCGTGCAACATGGCCTTTGGAAACAGGTTTGAGTCCAGATACTGCTGCCTATCAGCTGCTGGGACTCCAAGAAGACCACTTACGTAGTTGTGTCCTGGGTGGCAGGTAAGTGTAGATTGCATTAAAAAGAGAAAAAAAAGGAAAACTCACAACTAAGTTTGCCTGATCTTTGGCATCCTGCCTGAATGAAACTTTTCTGGACATAACCCAGATGGAATAAGAGGTTGCCCTCCGACTCTCATGGTCTTGGTGGCACATTCAGGGGTGGCATCGTAGTCTTGATTTATGTATTCAGTTACCTTGGAGGTGTAAACCTTTTTTAGGCTGTTGTTTTTTTGCCTTGCTTTCCTTTTTCCCACTCCTTTCCAGATTTAACCCCATTGGGTACCCTCTAATGCTACGGCAGACCTGAGTAGGGGTTCTGAGTCGTGGTGTTGGCCACCAATGTGTGCCCCAAGTCACCCTCTCCACCCTGTAATGCATTTACTGAGATAAAGTTTTTGAGTCCAAAGGTCTCCCCGTTCCCTTTCATATGCCATAGGTTGCTTTGGCTGTCGTTCCTATTCCATCCTTAACGTCAGTGTGCCCCACCCTTACTCAAGCGGCAGTTGCTTTTGTCAGCCCCTATCCTTGAGCAAAAGGAGCCCTCCCTGGTGGTGCAGCAGGTCATGCTTTGGGCTAACCGCAAGGTCAGTGTTTCGAACTTATCAGTAGCTCTGAGGAAGAAAGAGACTTTCTGCTCTTTAAAGTTGTACAACTTCATAGTCCTAGGGAGTGGTTCTACTTTGCCCTACAGGGTCAGTATGAGTTAGAATCGACTCGATGGCAGTGGATTTGGCCCTTGAACAAGAAGCCCAGTCCAGGAGTTACCTCTTGCATGGATAAGATTCTCCAGCGCCACCTGTGTCTCTGAACTTTAACTCATCAGTTCCATTTCTCCTTACAGGTGCTCCGTGGACTGGTCGGACACCTGCTGTCTTTTTTTCCCTCCCTCAACATTAATAGCTTTTAATATGTGATATATGGACGCCCGCTGTTTTATCTGGGATGTGGGGTACCCCTTGTAGTTGGTGATGAGATAGCATATTTATTGGGTACCTTCCAGCTGCTTAGAAAGTGAAAGAAGAAACTCACACACCTTTGTCATGGTCTGGATTTCTGATCCGTGTGCCCCTTTCCCCTTCCTTATGTCTCTTGAGGGCTTTGCTTGTGGCCTTGTGTCTGGTGAAGCATGTGTGGAAACTTACCATCCTCTCTGGGACTCTGACCTGACTGCTTTAGTTGTGGTGACTCCTTTCTGCTCAATCCGAGCCCTCTTCCCACCCTTTACTAGACAATTCTAGACAACCTTACCAACTCCATCCTACATTTCTGCATGGAACACCCCTGTCACCTTCTGCATTTGTCAAATCCCCTTGCCATTTTGTAAGGCTTTCCTCTACTCCACCCTGGAATTCTGCCTGTGTGAAAGCTTTCTGGATAAATTCTGGATTGAGTAAGAGGCCACCCAGTGACCTTTAGGATCTAATTCAGTACACGCACGCACGCACGCACACACGCACACACAACCTTCCCCAGCCACTCTTTCTCACTGTTATGATGTAAGAGCTTGGTCTCTAGGGCCACGCAGCCTGGATTGGAATTCTGGCTCTGCCTTGAAGTACTCTTAGTACTTTGGGCCAGTAACTTAAGGACTCCGTGCCTCAGTTTTCTTAGCAGGAATGAAAGAATTCAATCAATACTTGGAAATACTTGCTTTGAAGCAAGCCCGGCCCTGCTCAGTAAATGGTTGGCCTTGTTATGAAGCCTGAAAGCCACAGGCCTCTGCACTGCACCCGGCTGCCCTCCAGTTTGTTTTTCAGGTAGTGGTCCCAGCAGCGAGGGCAAAGCCCTGTTGTCATTATTTGACACCTGTCATTAATTTACTTTTACCCTCCATAGCAATTCTTTGATGTGGGGGCTGGTTACTATGCTATTTATATATGAGAAAATTGATGTAAAATAACTTGCTGAAAGTCACACTTAGTGATTAGCACCAACTTAAACCCATGACTTCTGGGCCCTAGGGGTTCATAGTGTGTTTGGTGTGCCATACAGACAGCCAATTTTTCTATGAATTGGCTTTGTGTCTTTAGGCAAACCATTTCTTTTGTAGGCCTCACCAGACCAAGAAGTAACGGGGGGGCATGGGAAGTTAGTTGAAGGAGAGTATGATTGATTGGGTTTTTTTTTGAGAATGCATGATTTTTGAGACACTGAGCTTCTAGGCCAGCGATTCTCAACCTGTGGGTTGTGACCACTTTGGGGGTTGAATGACCCTTTCACAGGGATCGCCTGATTCATAACTGTAGCAAAATTACCATTATGAAGTAGTAGCAACGAAAATAATTGTATAGCTGGGGCGGGGGGAGGTCACCACAGCATGAGGAACTGTTATTAAAGGGTCGCGGCATTAAAAAGGTTGAAAACCACTGTTCTAGACTGTATTGTAGAGGTTATGTATGGAAAATCCAAAATCTCTTGGAGGAAAGAATTGGAAACTAATCTCTATGTTAAGTATGATCTATATGAAATCTTATTTAAATTCTACAATAACCCTTGGAAATAAGCATCACTACCCTATAATACAGATGAGAAAACCAGCTATAAGCAGTAAGGGATTTCCCTCAGCCCATTCTAGTTGGAGGGCAGACTTTAAGCCCTTTTTGTTTGACTCCAAACCCTGTGTCCTTGATATGGCACAATGCCACTGTAGAGTGTTGAAAGACCATATGTCTCATCCTGAACTGTTTGCTGACCAAATGATTCTTTGGTAAATGGGATAACATGTCCAAATAGATCCCGGTGAGCATTTCCACTGAGCACCGCCCCGTAGTCAGTGGCTATTGGTGTGGCTCTGAAAGCCAGCTGGATGACCAGTCCCCTAAAGCACTTGGAACCCATCACAGGAGCCTTAGGCCTCACCAAGAGCCTGTTACATCCACAGTCCTCCAGAAAATGGTGCTAGGCGAGACTGATAAGCATCATGGTAACGGAGCCACTTCTTTACTTGATTGTCTGTTTCTTATGTCCTAGGTACTTTAAAATTCAATACAGATGCTGCCGAGTTCATTCCTCAGGAGAGAAAAAATTCTGGTCTAAATTGTGGGGCTCAGAGGCGACTGGACTCTAACAGGATTAATAGGAGAAATTACAGTTCGCCACCTCCCTTTCACGTTTCCAGGCAAGCCCCTTACAATGACACCTCTGCTCTTCGTCAGCATGGTCACCATCCTTCGGGAAGCAAACCTAAGAGCCAACCCACTTCTCTTCAGTTCCCTGCTCCGCATAAACTGCCCAAGAGCCAGGGCCTTCAGAGCCAACCCTGGCAGAAATTGAAGAGTGAAAAGCACCAGACCAGAGTCAAGAAGGGGCAGGGTCTCAGTGAGCAGAGCCCAGATACAGCCGGCTTAGAAAGTGCAGCCAAGGTCGAGAGTGGGACACACCCCAGGGAGCACAGTCCTTCGGAGAGTGAAAAGGATACTGCTGGTGCAGATCCCAGGGGAGCAAAACCAAAAAAAACATCCCCGTTTGTCTGCAACTATGGTAGAGGATCGAAAGTCAAGGGGAAGCCCAAAGGTGAGTGGGGGAACAGGGCAGCTCTGAAGCCTGAGGATGCCAGACCCGAAAATACCAAAACGGTGGTTCTTACCCAGCCCGACTCTCCAGATGCAATGTGCAGGAAAGGCGCAGTGGATGGGTTTGGGGCCAGGCGCAACGAGCAGAGAAGGCACCCACAGAAAAGGCCTCCCTGGGAAGTGGAGGGCGCTCGGCCTCGACCAGGCAGGAATCCACCAAAACAGGAGGGCCAACGACCAACAAATGCCAGACCCCACAGCAACCTGGTCTCCATTCCAAAGGGTAATCCCAGTGAAAGACCAAGCCAAGCTACCTGTGACAATGGGAACGTGGCGGTCATCAGCAAGTCTTCCAGAAGGATGGAGCCAGAGAAAAGCTCTGGAAGAAGGCAAGATCCTCAAGGAACATCTTTCCCCCGAGGCAAGCAGAACTACGTGCTGAAAGATGTGGAAACACACACAGGTAAGTTCACCTAGGTAACTGGAGATTTGGGGGTTTCGTTAATAAAATTTAAGTTGTGAGCAGGGAAGCCAAGTACTGGTGCATCTTAGAAACGAAGCAGTATGAGCAGGTACAGAGTAAAAGTCCGCCTGTCCTCGGTCACCATCTGTCTGGGCCCCACCACCCATCCATCTTCCCATAGGTGGCCACTTAGCCCATTTCTTATATAAGTAAAATCAAATAAAGACTTTTATGAGGGTGCTTGGCAAATGTAGCGATGGGTGGGGTGACTGTATATTTCTGAGCCATGAAAGCACAGCTAGGGGATGGGGCCATCTCTCCTGCTGTGGCTGCTTCCAGCCTACCTTATCCCCTGTCTGCCCAAAAAGCACTAGTGCCTAACAAGTCTGGCCACCCCCCACTCTCTTTCCTCTCCTCTCATACCAGTCAGATCTCAAAAGTACCCACTGAGCTATGGCCTGCCCTGCTTCGTTCATTTCACTGCTGCCCATCACCAAGAGACCCTGGCACCAGCCTTACTCAGCAATCTCATTGCTGCGTCTATCCCCAGCACATGCCATTCCCAGGATGCCAGGCCATTTCCTCTGTCCAGCCCATTGCCCGCATGGCTCCCCCGTCTAGATTGTGTCCTACCGCGTTCTTACATTCCAAAAGCTGGCCTCCTAGCGTGTCCAGGGAGCCCTTTGCCCTCAGCATTAACACCTTTCTTGTGACGTGTCTGTCCCCATTACAGCACCTATCGCTGGGAGCCATGATTTGTGTGCATGTCCATGGCTTCCACAGCCTGTAAGTTCCTGGAACACGGGGCTCTGCTGCCCTTTTCATTTTGGTATCCCGACCACCTAGCAGAGCTCTGAGAGCACAGCAGCTCCTTAGCTCTGGCAGTTGGAAAATTCTTCCAGGCATTGAACAGAAAACTTCATTCCTATCAGTAATTTCTATCCCCAGGTTCAAGTTCTATCTGCTGGAGCAATGTAGCACTGCTCTCATCCCTCCCAGCTTCCCCGCGGCATTACCCAGCAACACTTGGAAGTGTTTAAAGAGATCTGCCTGTGTAGCCTTCATCCAGGCTAGATCGCATGACTCTCCCAACATTCCTTGAGTTGCGTGACCATCCTGGTCTTCCTCCAGTTTAAGGTGAGGTACAGCCTGACACCTGAAGCCACCACTTGCCCAGACCCTGATTTCACACAGGCCTGCGATGCAGTGGCCCTATGGGATGACCATTGGATTGCTAACCACAGTTCAGACTCTTCAGCTGCTCTGGAGAACAGAGATGAGGCTGGCTGTTCCTGTAAAGATTTACAATCTCGGAAACCTTCTAGAGCAGTGGTTCTCAACCAAAGTAATTTTATATCAGAGTTACATTTTTAAATTTCAAAACATCCATAACCCCCTGCCATCCATCCTGGCTTATGTTAGGTGCTGAAAGACTTTCAGGGCAACTGCTAGGACCATCTTGTTGGAATCTGCCCGATTCTCTGCTTCTTGGAACTGGCTGGGACTTCACAGGCACCTCCCTAGCCTGAGTTCATCAATCCAGTGGGTTTGCAGCCTCCTGGATCCAGAGAAGACCCTGCTGTGTTGAGCCCGTGGATCCTCCACCTGTGTGGGAAGGCAGCTTCTGTCGGTGCCCGGGCAGGATTTGGGGCATGTGTCCTCATCATGGAGATGTCTATCTGCACGTCTGCTTCCTAAGGCTGTGCTTCAGCCGCCTTCCTCAGAAGCAGACATCCCTGGAAACCTGTGTGCACTGTCAGGTGCCTTGCTGGCCTTCAGTTGACTGAAGTGACAAATGACTTCCCGGTGTGTTTGTTTTGTTCTTTAACAGGCTCTCTAATTGAACAACTGACTGCAGAGAAATACGAGTGCATGGTGTGCTGTGAACTGGTCCGTGTCACGGCCCCAGTGTGGAGCTGTCAGGGCTGTTATCATGTGTTTCATTTGAGCTGCATCAAGAAATGGGCAAGATCGCCGGCCTCACAAGCAGGTCCAGCTTTTCTCTCTTTTCTGTTTTTCCCACTCCGGTCAGGTTTAGGTCTTAAACCTAGCTTTAAAAACACTAATTTATTCCTCTCGAATGTTTCCTCAGCAGGGAGACTATGCAGTCTTGATCCCATGTGTCAGATGTGGCCAACAGCTAAACACAATAGCATTGAAATGTATTGTGCACATGATAACGTCAGCCACATTTATTGAAATTGATAGCTTTTGTGCAAAGTAGCAACTATAGAACACAGTTCTTGTGTAAGTGTGTTAAACAGTTCTTGAAAACAGAACCAGGAAGATGCATTATTTAATTTGCCCTTAGACATTTGTTTTGTGTCTCACAGATCTTCATATTATTTTATAGGCTTTTCCCAAAGTATGCTAAAATTTTTTGAATAATGCAAATGTTACTAGTAATATGCTTTCTGAATGGTAGCTCGCTAAGGCATGAACTTTTTCCTTGTGTACTCAAATATCTTATCCTATATATACATATTTTAAGCCAAGATTCAGATGATTATCTTAATATATTTTTTAAAGTACAAAACCAGTACCTGCTTTATTTACTAAATATATCTGAACATTTTAAAAAATATAAGCCCAGAGCAAAACACTCACTCGGTATTGTGAACTTTTGTTACTTAAGTGTCATTCAGCTTTATAGCTTGCCATGATTTCGCATTTTTTAAAATTGCATTTGCTTCTGAGAGAAAATTAATTTGGTTTGTTCTTATTTTTCACGACAGATGGCCAAAGCGGTTGGAGGTGCCCTGCCTGTCAGAATGTGTCTGCACACGTTCCTAATTCCTACACTTGCTTCTGTGGTGAGTTTGTTTTCAGACACTCAGGTGTCTGCTGCTGCTTCTGTTATGCCCAGCCCCAGTCCAGGACAGGGATTGCAGAGCGTGTTTTTGAAATGACTGTTAACTCTTCGAAGCGATAGGACAGTACACTGTGTGGCCCATCTTCCCGATAACCCAGCCGTGGTGCTTTTGTCAGGCTGGTCCCAGGTGACCTTCATCAGCTGCTGTGGAGGCTTGGTGCTGGTCTCCTAGGTCTAACTGAGAGCAGTGCTGACCTGAGGCAGAGGCCGGCATCTCAGCCTTAGCTGGAGAAGCTTCAGTATTCCAGGCTTGAACTTCACAAGAGTAGTGTTGAAGTGTATTTTTATTTTAATCTGAGAAATCCTTCATAGCTCTTCATAATAGAGGTTGGTTTTTTTCCCCCCTACAAACCAGCTTTACAAATTTTATTCTTTGGCCTGCGCTTGTAATAGAATAGTTCTCTCTGGTTTTAACAGTTGCGTTTCCCTGTAAGTTCAGAAAAGACTTGCTGGGATCCAGATGCTCATTCCTGGTATGAGCTTGTTCCTGTGTGTCTTTCTTCTCCCCCCCCCCGCCCCCATCTTTTAATGGCTCACCTCCACTAGATTGCTGATTTTCCAGATTTTGCTTCATAATACTCTGCCTTCTTCCTTGAAACATTGCATTTTTGCTTTTGCCCTCATCGTCTCACTGAAACTTTGTTCCAAAATCACCAGTGTCCCATCCCTTCCTGACTAAGTCCAGTGATGGTTATAAGTTCTTAGCATTTATGGCAGCACAAGAGCCCTTCGTCCCGTGACCACTCCCCCCTGCAGTGACTCGACTCCCCCTGCTCTTTTTGCATGCCTTCCTTGTTTTTCTAATTTGCTCACTTAACTCAGAGCTTTTACCAACAGTTGACCGTTGTCCATCAACTCATTTATCTTCTAGATTCAACCCCTTGGTAAACTCTCTACTATCTAGAAACTTCTTTTCTTTTTTCTCTGAATATTCCAAACATCCTTTTCCAGGAAATTTCCCTCTGTTGCCCTCGCTTCTATTTGGCTCCTTTTTTATACAGAATCACTGGTTTTAAGTATCTTATTACCAAAACCTAAGCATTAGTGTTAGCTGAAGAAGCGAGTCCTCCTGCATGTACTGCTGGAAGGGCAGCCTGAAACTCAAAGCAGAGGTCAATGGGGAATTGGGCAAATAGGACCAATAGGTTATTTAAAAGGATATTTCAACATAAAGAGCACCGTGGAGTTTAAAATCTTGTTAAAGTCTTCACTGGCAAGTTAGATAATTGTAAGCCTTTAAGAGAGTCGACCATGTGGAATGAAGGTGAAAGTAACCTGAAAGAGGGGAAATGATGTGAGAATACAAATGATGGGCTTATTTTTTACTTGATGACTGCCCTGCTCTGCTCTTTCAGGGGTCCATTAGGTTAATAGCCTTATGAACATTCTACATCTGTAAACAAACGGGTATAGACTATTCACAGCCTGCCAGCATGTGCCAAGTAAGCAAGCGTTAAAGCAGTCCACTAGAAGTACAAAGTGCTGTGGGAGTTGGAGGGCGGTTCTGCTCTGAAATGCCTGGGGTCACCGTGTGTCAGAATTGATTTGATGACAACAGATTTGTTTGGGTTTAGAATTGAATTGGGTTTGCAAATGTGGTTGACTCTGACTGGGAGGAAAGATTTGGTCAATAGACTAGCATAAACAGAAGTGTAACACCAAGAAGCCTACAATCTAGTGGAAGAAGAGGGAGTCATCCACGTCAGGTGTCTTGGGCCCATGACAAGAGAGGAGTCAGAGGTTTCTGGACAGGGAGTGTACACCTCGATGTTAGACTTACACATTGGAGCTTCATTTGACAGGCTGGCTGTCAGTGTGGTTCTTTATGGAAATGAGTCTGACAGCAGTGCATAGAGTATTTTGAGGCCTGAACAGTTCTGGGACTTTAATAAAGAATAATAAAAGTCTATAATGTGTGTTGTGCTGAGGGTGGGGGGGGTGGCACATAGAAATGAGGTGGGATATTTTTATAGCTAAATAGAAATTGACAGCAGTGGGAAGGGAAGAAGTCATGGGGTCCCAAAGGTTCATGCTTTTAGAAATGGTGACACTAAGGACAGAAATGGAAGGTCAGGAGGATCAGGTTTGGCGGGGACAAGAAGTTCCGTTTAGAAATGTTAGGTTGAAAGAATAAGAAGCCATCTTGTTAAGCATGTCTAACAAGCAGTTAGGAATTCTTGGTGAGAGACCAGGACTTAGGGACATGTGTTGCAGGGGAGAGGCTGAGGTGAAAGCCCTGTGGATTTAAGGGTGAGCAGTGAGAAAAGAGCCTGATACAGAACCCCGGTGAGGAAAAGGGGCGGCGGAAGCAAACATTATTTAGAGTCAAGAAAAAAGTGAAGTCATTCGAGCATGTTAGGAAAAAACCAGAGCAATTTATTCTGAGGCAAGAAAGCTTGTGTAGGAGTTAGGTTCTAAATAGATAAATAGACAAATAAAAAAAATTTTTTTTGAGAGTTAGGTTCTGGCCAATAGAGAGTCAAGTGCAGGAGCGAAGGGAATATTTGCTGAGAGACACGCCAGGCAAAATATATTTGGGGCGATTAAGTAAGTAAGTAGAGTGTGGAAAGTAAAAGCAAAGTCAGGGGTAACTGGTTTTTGAGTTTGTATGGCTGCCGATGATGTCACTGACAAAAGAGGGAATGTGTCCGAGGAAGGGGGTTTAAGAGGGAAGATGCTAATGTCGGCCATAAATGCAGTCAGTTTGGGCGGCTCAGAAACCCCCAAGCATGGCTGGACAGGTGGACTGAAATTGAGGATTCAAAGCAAGGCAGAGAAGGAAGAGTTGGGGATCACTAGCTGTTAGCCATCTTGAGCCTCACAGTGGAATACTGTTTCCAAAAGACGCGGGCTGCAATTCTACCTTACAAATCTGGCTAGACCAGAGGATGTACACTGGTACAGATAGGAATTGGAAACACAGGGAATCCAGGATGGATGATCCCTTCAGGACCAGTGGTGTGGGAGGGTGCAGGACGGTGAGTTGGAAAGGGGGAACCGATTACAAGGATCTACATGTGACCTCCTCCCTGGGGGATGGACAGCAGAAAAGTGGGTGAAGGGAGACATTGGACAGGGCAAGATATCACAAAATAATAATTTATAAATTATCAAGGGCCCATGAGGGAGGGGGGAGCGGGGAGGGAGGGGAAAAAATGAGGAGCTGATGCCAGGGGCTTAGGTGGAGAGCAAACGTTTTGAGAATGATGAGGGCAATGAATGTACAAATTTGCTTTATACAATTGATGTATGTATGGATTTTGATAAGAGTTGTATGAGCCCCTAATAAAACAATTAAAGAAGAAGAAAAAAAGAAAAAAGAGGCGGGCTGGAGAGAAAAGCAGAATCCAGGACCAGGGCCGGCTGTCATTTAAAGTGTGTGAACTGCCCTGGTGCAGGTGAATCCTGGAGGACAAAGAAGACTCCTCCCTGCCCAGCTCAGAGGAGAAGTGCAGTGAAGACTCAACCAGCCGAAACTGATGGTAGAAGCATCGGCTGGCGGCATGCCAGCTTTCTTGCTGTGTCCTAATCAGGAGACCCCAACCATCGGAGAGTTTCTGTTCTTTCTGTCTCCCACTGCTTCTGTTTCTTTCCCCAGTGCCCTCTCCTCCTCCCTCTTTCTGACCCTCCTAGCAGATATGCTCACTTCAATGCAGGGGCCCAGTACCAATGGCCTCGCCTATAGGTGGTTTTTTTTACTTTGCACTAAAGGTGGCATTTTTACGAGTCAACGTGATTTTGGAAGATGACTCTGGTGGGAGCCAGAATTTGAAGTTAGCCATACTCGGTGAAACTTTGGATGAGTAGCGTTCCAGCCTCCTTTCATCTTAGGCTGTGGGAGAATGTGTTAACTCATGAGAACCAGCCCGACGTTTCATGCTGTCTAGCTACACTGTACTGTTGTTTCATTAAAGCCAAGGATGCAGTTGAAGGGTGTGCCATTGACTTTCTGATCTGATATGTTTTAGGCAAGGTAAAGAATCCTGAATGGAGCAGAAACGAAATTCCACATAGCTGTGGTGAGGTTTGTAGGAAGAAACAGCCTGGCCAGGACTGCCCACATTCCTGCAACCTGTAAGTTGGAACACTAACCCCTGGGGGTTCCTGGTGGATATGTTTTGTTGATGGTTCTAGGTATACATATCTGGTTAGCATATAACAGGAGAGGGTGCAGGACAATGTGGTACCATTTACTGAGCACTTACACTGTGCCTGGCACTCGGCACTCACTGAGTCCTTATCACAGTGACGTGCAGGTATTCGCCACTCTACGGATGAGGTTCAGAAAGGCCAGGCATCTTGCCCAAGGTCACAATGCTCGTGCATGTGGGAGCTGGGACTTCCAAAGCCACTGCTCCTCCTGCTCTATTAGTGGCTTCTAAGAAGAAATGAGACTCACCTCTTTTGCACCCTAGTGATATCTGGACTCAAGAGAGTCGATCAGACTCGATTCTTCTGTGACTCTGGAAATCCTACCCTTACTTAAAGTTTGTCTTTCCATTCCTGTCAGAACTGTAGAGCTTTCTGAGGCCCATTCCCTGATCACATCCCTATGGTCTCCAGCATGTGTGAAGGTTTGGGTTTATCTTATATCCTCACCAGCACTCTGAAGCTATGGTGCCTCATGCTATTTTGAGTGGTACCCATAGTTTAGAAAATTCTACAGAACAGTAGTTATCAACCTGACTACATGTTGAAACCATATAGGGAGCATTTTAAATCTCCAAAGCCCAGTCTCTACCTCAGACCAATGGAGTCAGAGTCTGAAGGTGGAATCTGAATGGCTATAGTTTAAAATCTCTCCAGGTGATGCTAATCTGTAGCCAGGGGCAAGAACCAGGACTCTGGATGTTAAGAAAACCTAAGGTTGAATCCAGGACTCAGGAAGTTTAGTCAACCAGGAGATAGCCACACCTGACCAGAAGTTTATTTTGTCTATCAGAAGCTATTTAAAGATGCAACCATGAAGTTTATTTTACCTGAAAGGATTGAGGCATACCGTGTAAAATATGACTTAACCCTTTTATGGCCCATGGTGCCCCTTACATAGAGACCCCACTTACATTTTCCTCCTCTGGGTTGTAGTGGGAAACTGATATCCCCCTTTCAGTGTTTGCTGTCATTTGGTGGGGGCCTGGGTAATTGTGTAAGTCGAAAGAAGCTGGCTACATCCCGTCAACCCTGCACCAGACACCCCTCTGGCATATGTATCCCACTAGTTGTATCAAAATCCATATTACCTCAAGAAAAAAAATTTATTTTTTTACATTTCATTCAAAATACAATTAAAGAACCACATTTAATATATCTCCTATGGCTACCATCTATCGAAAGGAACGAGACACTTGTTCCTGTGGTTGTTTTCGATGTTTAAAATGCTATTTAAGAATGCTTCTTTGAAATGCTTGCTTAAGAATTATCACAGGTGGTTTAGGAGTCACATTAAAAAAAAACAGGCCACCTAGTAGGTACACCTGAGTTTTAGTCCAAATTCTATTACATACTTGGTTAATTCGACTTGACTCTGATTGGCCCTTAATTTCCGAAGGATTTTTGACTTGCCATCACTTAAAATGCCACCACCCAAAACAAACGAAAACACTTGTCCTAGACGTTCCCAAAATGTCTTAAGTAATGATGTTTCTGAGCTAGTAGCAAGTTACACTTACTTGTATATACCATTTCAGTTTGGGGCCTCCCCCCCCCCCCCATCAGTCTCATTAATGTAAATCACTTACCTCCTACAATAAACTTTCTATTCAGAGGTCAGAGTCTGGCATTATAGCATCCCTGAGCCCGGTTCGTCCCATGAGCCCCATCTTCCTTTGTCCTTCCCGTTTTACTTGCCAGCATGCCTACCCTTGTGTCACTGTGCCCATTGTTAACACATCACCTGGTTATGGCTTAAGGAACTGATGAGAAAATGGCTGTACTTTCCACGAACCTGGTGGATTTGAGCTCTGGCTTTGCTCAGGTTCTGGTCTTTTAAAGGATTTCACGGGCCATCCCGCTGTTCACTTGAGTGGCAAGCTATTTTTGTCTCCACTCTGCTCTAAAAGGGCTGAGATCATATTTGGAAATGTCTTTGTCAGACCCAAATGAAACCATCATTTTGATTTGTTCCTGGTTAAAAATTTAAGATGATAGTGCTGTCAGTTATTTCTATAGAAAAACACCATTGGTGTCTTTATTCAGATCATTCAATCAATTTTAGACAAACCTTGAAGCATTTCACCGCAGATTTCCTTGTCAAATCCACAGCAGTACCCAGTTTTGGCAGTTCTGAGTTTGTGGGTGCCTTACTTTCTGTAACCTTTATTTTTCAGTCTCTGCCATCCTGGACCTTGCCCACCCTGCCCTGCCTTTATGAATAAAGCATGTGAATGTGGACGGACCAGGTAAAGTTAGCATTGTACCCTAGAGAAGACTGGTTTCCACACAGGCACCTTGAGGTTTAAAATATTGTGGTAGCAGTGGCAGCAGTAGAGGAGGAGGAGGAGGAGGTGGTGGCAATGGTAGTGATGGAGGTGGTGTTGGTGGTAATGGTAGTGGTGGAGGTGGTGATGG